ACATATATATATATATATATATATATATATATATATATATATTTTTAATTTTTTTTTAATAGCTGGGTCAACTCATTTCATTTAGCAATACGTAAACAATATTTAGTGCTTTGTCTAGAGGAAAAAAGTAATTTATTCAAGAAATCTATACCAATCTCATAATTGTTTAAATTTAGTAATTTTAAAAGGAGCTTAAAGAAATCCATTGAGCAAGGATGGGTTCAATGACTTTAGGAGGTATTTATAAGCATCCATAAGTCAAGTCAGTTAATACCAAAATGAACTCAGCCACCAATTTTTTCCTGAATGAGGCTGAACATAGGTTTGAAACTAACATCTGGTTTTTGTCAGGAACAGCTGCTCTGGCAACATGCACACCTGCAGGCATATTTGGGAGAGTTTGCTCACTAGTTTAATATCTCACACTAGGCTTGAGACTAAGCAATATTTGTGGGATCCCCAAGGATGATAAGAAGCACATTAATTTTTTAGTAGTTAGCTCTCCTATCAATCTCTCCTATTGAAAACATCTCCATACCTGTCCTGTGGTAATACTCCTCCAGCCAAATGAACAACTGTAGGATAAATATCCATAAGACTTGTAGGTTCATCGATAACTGTGCCTGCAGGCAACACTCCTGGCCACCTAAATACTCCTGGCACACGTATTCCTCCTTCCCAGCCTCCCATGCCTTTTCCACCTGCAGTGAAATGAATGAACATAGAGCAGTTCAAAGGCAAACACAAACCTCTTCAGTTGCTTGTTGCATTTGAATGTACAGAAAAAGATGCCGCAATACACTACTTATTCAACAGATTCAACTCTTCATTTACGTTGGACTTCACATACTTCAGAAGGCCTCAAAATGTGACATGTAACACATCCAAGCCAAGGAAGGTGGGGGGGGACAATCTCTATTTTAACTCTGGCCACAGGTGAGGCTAAGAACATTAAATTACCTTTGAAAAGCCTATGTTCAGCAACAATGAAACATCTTCCACCTCCTGTTATCTTCCCTTTCAGGGGTTGCCTACATTCACCTGTTTATTGAAGGGCTTCCCAGGAAAAGAAAAGAGGAGGAGCTGAAAATTGGAAGAACTCACAACACTGAAAAAATACTTGATATTCTCTTTAAACCTACTCAAGACTTACTAATAGTATTCTGTTTTAATAAAACTGAAAAAAAAAACCCCAAACCCAAACTTTTCTTTCTAGCCATGAATTCCCTTCAAAATATGTGTCCTTAACACTTCTATTTCCATATGCCTTTTCTGAAATTGAGATTTGGACCTGACTCTCCCAATGCTTAATACAACATCTCCTAACTCAGAAGCAAAAAAATCTGAACTTGGAAAAAATAGCAGGAAAACACTTTTTCTTAATCTAATACTAACAGAAATGAACCTAATAAAGCATCCTGTTGCTAGACGTGTGAAGACAATATTTCTCTAGCTCCCAAAGCAGAAACCTGTTTTAATTCATATATTTAACAGGAAAAAAACATTGTGAGATCCCATGAAGCTTATGAATCAGTGTTATTATCCATAAAGCACTTTCTCAAGCAAGGACTGAGATGGGAGATGAACAGACTAACTGAAAGCTCTTCCCTTTCAAATGGGGCAGCAACCTCCATTGCTCAGCAGCAGAGCATCCAACTCATGGGATCCAAAATTCCATGTCTTTGACCTCTGCTGTGCCCTGTGGAGTAGCTCAAGAAGGGTTTGAATTGGCAGAAACCTGCTTTAGGAAAACAAAACCATCAAAATATGGGCAAGAGGTGGATGGTTCATTGGTCATAGCAGAACTTCCCTGACTCCTCTCCAAACACATTGTCATGTGTTGATGACAGGTCACAGGATCAGATGGTCTGATGATCACACAGGGCTGTTTGGGTAAGTGGGAGAAAATGCAATGAATGCATATCCTTTCAGCTTGAAAAAAGCCACTGCACTGCTCAGCAGGTTGAAGAATGATTCACAGCAGAAAGGGACGGGCAGGAGGTAAAGAGTGAGATGTTTTTAGACCACCGAGGCTGTTTGGATTTTATGCCAATCACTGATTTGGAGTGAAAGATAAAAGCATACTGGGAATAAATTGTTGCTGCAAGTCATGACACAATGTGCCCTTACTCTATTCTGTATTGATTAGCTGGGCAGCAATGATTTCTGGAACATAATGAGAAAAAGAAATAAGCAAATCAGGAAACAGTCCTATTGTGGAGAGAGGGGGAAAATCCAGAGAAAGAGAGCTAATATTCAATATAGGGAACTATCACATTTTTGCCAGTGTGTTTCACTTGAGAACACCAAATAATTCACAGGTATCAAGCTAGAAAACACCTTTGTCAAGGGGATGTGTAATAATGCTTGCACTTTGCTGAAAGAAAATGTAACTTTAAGATTAAAGTACCTCCGCATATCACCTATATTTCAAGCTAAAAACGCAACTCATTCCAGCCTTGACAGCTTCAGCCAGGCAAACTCACCGTGTTTCTGATCCTAACTTTCATGTAAAGTCACAGTGGTCTTCCTACCTTTATAAATACCATTCCAGCCACCTAGCTGGGCAGATCCATCCTGAGCCTCCAAGTGTCCTCCATGATCAGAGGCAAAGTAAGTCAATGTATGATTTGTCAGACCTTCTTTGTCAAGTGAATTCAGAATTTTGCCTTAAATATAAGAATAGAGACATCAAAGTTTCTATTAACCAATTAGAACGATCAAGCCACATTTATGTTTCAGTAATAATCGTTTGAAATGCCCTATAAGAAGTTTTTAGTAGCATACATTTCTGTAAGTGTTTTGACCTTATTAGTTTTCCTGCTTCAAAAATACACAGGTGTATACATCTGAAGAATACTTACCCACCATCCAGTCCATTTCTTCTACATTGTCTCCATATAAACCATGATGGCTCTTCCCAATAAATTTTGCTGTGGTGAAGAGTGGGGTATGAACATGTAAAAAGGAAACAAAGAGGAGGAATGGTCCATGCCTGTTTCTTGAAAACAAACCAAAAAAAAAAAATTTTTTTGTTGTGTGTTTGGAATATTTGAATGGTTTCCTATTCATGCATACACAGACACACACATTGGGTCTAGACTGTACCCACATCTAGTGCATCCCCAGTGATCACAGCTGACAGCTTTTATTGCATGAAATGTGGGCAAGAAAGGTTCTTTCCAGACAGATTATTCTCAAATTCCACTGTGTAAGCAGTCACAGCATTTTCACACTGCTTAAATGAATCAGATGCCTAACTCTGACACCTTTTTAATTAAACACAGTTTAATTAAAAGTTAATTAAACTGGATACAGTCATATATATATTATTCATATGCTTTTCTAAGATGGTCACTTAGAATTTCCAGTATATTTGTTTTCACAAATTTTAAGAAAAGAATAGCTACTTTCCCTGTTTTACAGAAAGGCACTTGATGCACAGAAATATTATAGAAGTCTGTGCAGGCAGAACTTGAATCAAGAAAATGAATGATCTTACTTGGCTTTGTTCTCAACCGATAGAAATAGATTTAAAGTGTTTTTAGATTTTTACATGAAATAATTTAATACATCACACACATTTTATCTAGGTGTTTTGTTGGGTTTATGAAAAAAAGCACAAATAAGGTTTGTAGAGTGAGGTGTAAAAATTGGCTGGAGCAAATATAGTAATTGCAGATTACAGGGCATAGTGAAATGGTCACGTATCATTTGGTTAAAATCCATCTCATTTACTGTAGCTTCCAGTGTGAGACAGTTGCAATTTAAGTGCTTTGGGTTTCTAGAGGACTTGGATATGAGTTTCAAAGCAGTTCTATACAGCTATACTCGAGAAGAAAACTCTAGTCTGCCTAGAACATCCTGGCTCCTTTAAAGAAAACTACAGACAATCATTTACCTCTTGATAAATGACACTGCCTCCTTTAGCATGAGGGAAGCAGTCCTCTCTAACCTCATCGGCTGCTCAGTGACATCGTGGTTCCTCATCAGGATACAGTTCCAATACTGCACAAAGCCGTAACTGGAGTACCAAGAAATGAAGAAAAGGCTGCCCACCAAAGTAAAACAGGCAATTATCTTCCAGTGGATGGAAATCAAACCAATCAGTTTTCCAGCAGTGAGAGTGAGCACAGCAAGGATAATTATCTGACTGTAAAGCCAAAGCTTATCTTGAAGGGCTACATCCAGCTCTGGAGGTTTGTTTTCTTGACAGTTATTTAGAAGTGTGAAAGGCATGCCATAAAAGTAGTCAAACCCATGATTGAGAGGATGGTGACAGTGATCATTGAAGGATTCACAGTTTACACCTTGATGCCACTTTCCTGAAGGTTTTAAAGCATAAAAGAAGTTAGAACATTAAGGTGGATAACTCAAAAGGAACCTAAGGTCACATCACGAGCATCCTTTTGGGAATCAGGTGAGTCTCTGTTTTTCAACAGAGTATCAATGCATTCTCTTTGTGCACAAAGATGCTGAGTGAAAACATTGCCTGATCAGGTTAATGTCATACAAGAATAGGTGAACCCTAAACGATCATGCAATAAACATAGATTTGCAAGATGTTCAGCTATGCAGCTAAGGGTCACGTAAGGGTGGGAATTAATTTCCTTTCAATGAGGATCGGGAAATTAAGGTACTTTAACTCACTGGCTGCTTTAATACATTCCCTTCCTAACTTCCAATTGTTTACTTGTAACTTCATTTTGATATAATATTACAAATTTACTGGAAGATCCAGTAAACTTTTGGCCAATGTTAACAGATATCTTGATCACCTGACTAAGGAAGATGATTTCTCAGGCACTTCCCTATTCCATGTGAAGAGGAGAAGAGGCTGTAACCCAACCTCACACTCTGTCCCGCCCAAAATATAGCAAGTAGACAGAAGCTGATGTCTGCTTAGAATATGTGCTGGATCAAAGGACTCTGAGGTTTGCTGGGTTATGTGATTGCCAGGTAATTACAGACTCAGCCAGGAAGACTACTCTTTATCAGCTCATGATTCAATGCAGCCATATCTATTTCCATCACTTGGAGATAACAATGCATTTGGCACAACTGGCCCCAAACGGCCTGGCTTTAAGGGACACAGTGCTTACCCTAGCTACCATTTATGTGAAGGGATCCATTGCAGCCGTGCCTGTCACTTGAGAGATAAAAGCAAATGGAAAGCGAATGACTTTGCCAGTTGATTTTAGAGATATTTGTCAAAAGAATGATGAATCTTGAAACTGTTGAGGTCTGATCAGAGGTGGGAAGGTGCTCTGGGTCACTGTTTCCCTGACAGCTTTGCATTTTGGCTTCATCTGAGGCAACAGCCACCATATCATGACTCTTTGGGACCTCACAACCTCAGCTGTGAGATAACTGTACCTTGTCCTCTCCTCTGTGGGTAGAAACTTTGTTCCTTTCTTTACTTATCCTCTTTTGTTTCTCTGCCCCTTGCCTCCAAAAAGCAGATTAAATACTTAAAGACATTGTTTTGTTTGGAACAATCTTTACATCAACAAAACTCTCACAGTGGACCAACCTTCTTAGGACAAGTAAAATAAATGCTCATCCATTGTAATAACGAGACAGTTGAAAATTCTTCCTGTTTTGGGTGCCCTGTACAGTCATTACCACTGTTGTAAAACTCTTTAGATTGCAGTATTTTTAGTCATCTTGCAAATATGAGGGTTTCCCCTGCCTTACCTTCAGTCTTTTGGAGAAGATTTGTATGTATGACTAGTGGACCATTTTGAGCAAACTCAGTCCCTAAATTCTCTTCATATAACTAGCTCATTCTTCAAGGTCATGTTACAACATTTCCTCTTACCTATCAATCCAGTGGTATAGCCTTGTTTCTGCAGCAGCCTGGCAAATGTTGTTTCATTAGCAGGGAGTCCTCCTGACCCAGCGTTCCACTGCAGCGCCCGGTATCCATTGCTGGATGCCATCCCTGACAGAAACAGCTTTGGTCATCGCTGCGGGACTTTTACTCTCCACTGGTGGAGGCTGTGCTGCTCCTGCCAACCTCCACATCAGGAGCTCAGCCTGAAGCCAGAGTTCCTCACAAGACAAAGACAAGTGTATCTTGTGAGTAGTCACGTGAGTGTGTCCAAGTACTTTAGGTAGTCAAGAGTTGTATTTCAAAACAAATACTGCTGCACACCAGTTTTACCATCAAACTGATAAATTGGTGGTGAAAGCATACAGTAGGTTTTGCTTTCTGACTTTTGGAGTAACTAATAATTTAGTCTCTCTGCTTTTCGTCTAATATGAGAGGACAGTTGTATTTCCCTGTGTCAGTGGGATGTTGTATCATGTTATGTGAGATACAGTTCACCCAATATATACACTGACTTTGCACTTAGCTCTCAAAGTAGGCATCTAATTTTCCTGTATAATGCCTGGTGAGAGATGGATATCTATAAAATTCTCCGAAAGGCACCTTAGATAGGTGGGGAATGGTTCCAAACCTCCATTTTCCCCAGAGTTTTGTGACTTTCTGCACTATGTTAGCAACGAACTTGACCATTTCTCTTGGGAGCCCTGTTTCAACCCCTTAACTCTAACCACCACCACCAAGAGGAATTCCATCAGTTTGCCCCAGACCGCACTTCTCCATACCTATCTATTTTCATCATATAGATCTCTGACATCCTTTAAAGTCAGGCTAAAGCTCTGTCAGCTGGTGAAGCAGTGGTCCCCATTCACAAGTTACTTCTAGAAAGTTTGAGCCTCTAGCAGTGTATTTTCTATCTCAGATTGAGAAAACTCTTCTGTTCCAGTATTTATCAGCTATTGCATAGTACCTCAGCACCATGCACAGAAATTTGTAATTCAAAATGGGCCCAACCTGATCTAATGGGGTATCTGCCAGTGAGGAAAGCTGCTCTGCTCGGAGTGCAAAGTGGAGCTGCAGCAATGTGCTGAGTAAGTTTCACTCCTCCTCTTGCCAGGCGATCAATGTTTGGGGTCCTAAAAAACACATTAAAGTTTAAGAGAAGCAAGGTAACCTGAAACATTTTAATAAATTGCAAATAAAACCTAGAGCATTTGAACAGTTCTTAAAAAAAACAAAACAAAACAAAACACCTCTTTACACACTCCAGGACTGGTATAGTAATAAGTTTGACACAGCGAGTAAAGTGGATTGTAGCCACTGGAGAATCCATTCTCAGGACACAGACATAGAGTGCTCTTGGCAACACTGAAAAGTAAACCTAGGCATCACTGGTACTGTTTAGTTAGAAAATAAAACTGAATTGAAAAGACTTATCTGAGAAAGACTGCTGTTTTTCCTATTCCAATATTTTCAACAGATCACTTTTGCCATCACATTTAGACCCTGAATTTCAAAGTTAATTGAGTCAGAGAATCTCACAAGGTGTCTGAAGCTCTTGGAACCAAGACTTTCTGTTCCATTTTTTTTAACACATGCTATTTATTTCATAATATAGTGACATCTTTACATAGTTACATTTATAGCGGAGCCTAACTTTCCAAGAATAATGGACTACAACACCAAAAAGAGTGAAAGAGGCCTCCCCAGTCTTCAGCACCCGCAGAGGAGGACAACAGAGTTCCACAAGCACATTCCCATTTCTCTGTACAGCCCCACCAACATCATGTGAGGGAGATGCACCCAGAGCATGCCAACAAAACGTCTGTGCTCCACTTGGGGGACATGAGTTGAGGCTTGTAAGATGTGCTCCCAATGCCCATTTAGTTCTGCTTTGCCTGTTTAGTTTTGAATGAATGCAATCACTAGTTTTAAAGCCACATAGTCACATAATAAATTATGTGTGTCAGTCCATGTGAGTCTGGAGTAGAGTGTTTTGGAGGAGATGGCAAGCAAATGGATGAAGGATTCTGGAAAAGCACTAGGTGGATAGAGTAAGTTTTAACTATGTGTGAAAAAGAACGAAGAAATTAATGCATAAGAAGAAGAGAAAACAGTAACTGTAGTAGTAAAAAAAGTGTCTGGAGAGTTAGCACATGGAGGATGGGATGGGAAGAATTCCCAGAAAGAACTTAAAAACCAAAACTAAATTATTTTTTTTTCCCTTTTCACTGCACACTGTTTACCTAGGCCCCAATCCTCTATGCATGTATACAAGTACTTAAATACACAGTTACTAGAGCCTTGGATTAAGAGATTAGAGCATTTCTTATTTTATAGGGAGGCTTAATTACTCAGGATGAGTGTTCTATAGCGTTAAACATATTGTACTGAGAGATCTTTTACCTTATGGTATTGTTTCCATAACAACCTATATCTCCGATGCCAAGGTCATCAGCCAGAAATAGAAGTATGTTGGGTTTAGAGTCCACAGCTTCACTTGAGCCAAATAAACATGAAGTCAGTGCCATTAGGAGGTACGTCCTGAAATACGACAAAATAACATTTTACATATGTGACTCGTAAGGGTTGGAGAGTGGTGGGAGCACTCTGGCAGCAAATATGAAGCATGAAACACAAAATAATTTCCTAGCCCCACTTTCAGTGGGAATAAGGAGGATGGAGGTTTACTGAATCCATTTCTTCCATCTCTGCCACCTAGATCATTTCTAGTCATAGAGGCTGCAGTAGCTTTTCTACAGCAAAGATTGTTGTCTTACCAATTTGGCCGAGGAATTTTCATCTTGAATCAGTTGCATAGATTTCAAAATGTACCAAAAACTTCAAAGAGCTGAGAAAAAATAGTGTTTCTAAGTTTCATAAACTCTGTGAAATTTCAGGTTATGTTCCAAAGTCACTCTGTCATTTTCTGAATATCTTGTCTCCAGTGAATAAAGCAGTCAATCATATTTGGAAGAGAAGTGGAAACCCCCAAACTCTCTCCTTCAACTCAAGAACACTTGAGCTTGAAGCCTCTACTGCCATTCTGAGATGTCAGCCAGGCCCCAGATGAGCATCAACTGTATTTAATATCTGCAGAAAACGGAATTTACATTTTTACACACATATCATACTTTTTATAGAAATATACCTAGAACATCTGAAGCTACGTGTTCCTCCAAGTATTACTGATTAGTGTCTCTAAAACCTAATCCTGGATTGATTTTTCACTTGGACAGAGTTACCACTTAATTTTGCAGGACATGGAGCAGCAGCAACTCTCTAGGACAGACTGAGAAAGTTCCTGCATATCATTCCAGGATTTGCAGTTTTGGTGTGAAGATCTAGTATACAAAACCATATTTGAATGACCAAGTAAACATTACCTCTAACAGACAAACACAACACACTGTAAACATGACTCTGAACTCACAGTTGTAAATAACTAACCAGCGGCTATTGGCGTTTAATCATCCAAGAGCAAAGTTCCAGCTGGGTTGTGATGAAACCTTGCTTTAGAGGCATTGTGGACAATCTCCATTTTTATACTTGGATTACTTATTTTGAGGAAAGGAAAATTTTCTATTTGCTAATGTTCTATCTCCTAAGAGTTACAGGACTTTATACTGGTTGAATGAATCCTTTCAGAGAACTAACACATTAGTTAGAACTGCAGGGGGGAAGGTCTCTAAAGAACCCTGGAAATAATCAGCCCCCAACTGCCTATTGCAGTCACTTGGACATTCTTCTTTCCAAACTGGGGACAAGAGTAGTGCTCCCGACCTCTTTCCATTACATTTAAGAAAAGGAAAAGAAGAAGGAGGCAAATTGTGAAATCTGCTCTTACTGATGTCTGCAGCCCCATCCTAACACTCTGTTTTCTCATGGTGTTAAGTGCTGGATATTTGCTGATCCCTGTGGTAATCCTGCTTGTGGATTAAGATAGGGTCAAGGACAAATTCCATCTCAGGTAACCTACTCCTTATAGTTCCAACTCCATATCCTAAGTTGTTATGTAGCATTACTGTGCATTATCAAATAACCATGCTTAGAGCTCAAAATGATCATCCTTCAGCAATACATGCAGGGAGCGCAAGAATGTTTAGTTACTAAACACTCATAAATCTTCAGAGCAATAGGGTTGAAAAGAAGTAGAACATAAAACAGGCATATAGATACATACATATATAAACCTTTTCAGAATTACCTATAAAGCTATTTCTGGAAAGATAATATTAAAGGCAGAGCCAGAGACTTCCACTTGGGAGACGGATCTCATTGTTTAAAAACATGAACACATTAAATAAGTATGAGGTTAAGATGGTCTTAAAAATCATTTGGCAGCCAGTATTACTAAGTGATTTTAAAATATCTGCTTGTAAATCAGGTAAGTGCAAAACATTGGGCAAATACAGGGCACTATTTATGTAACTTTTATTTACAAGACTTATTATGGATTTACACCATAATTGGGCTCCCATAGCTTTATTGACAATGATTTTCTGAGGACAGGTTAGGAACCATTGGCATAGCCAATCAAATGTTGAAAAAAAGCCCCTACTGAACTATAAAATTTGGTGCCTGTACTTGCATTAGAATTGTTTTCAAAGGTGATACTGCTGTGTTTAGGGCATACCTAGAATTACAGCTTTGTGAGATTATATCATCCTTCTGCTCAAGAAATCTGCTCCTCCTACAAGATTTCACTGAGATGTTATATCCATGTAAGAGCCTGGCACCTCAGACTACCTCTTTAAAGGCTTGTATAAATGGAGACAACTTTAGAACAGTGTGGGGCTCACAATCAGGGAGGAATTAAAAATAAAAAAGGGGGAGGGAGAGAACAATGATGACATGATTTTTTAATGGAGTTGAATTTCCTACATGGGGTAAAGAAGGGAACAACAAAGACTTAACGCAAACAAAGCATTAGGAGAAGTAATTCATGTGCGCCCAGGATTGTTGGGGGACAAAAAGGTGGGTCAGTTCAAACAACACAATTTTAATTCTGCCAGACAGCAACAAATACATGCAGCGATGTACAATTCTGTTCACCTGAATAGAATGGCAGCAATGGCTGTGCAAGGTAGTGGTGCAATCATCTGCTGGTAGACAGCAATCCTGAAAATAAGGTAAGCTTATAGTAAGCAACAAATTCAGCACAGTCACCAGTGTGATGTTGGAGGAAAATAAAAGAACTCAATCCTTATATCTCTTTAAAAAAGAGGGACTAGTGAGAGGATTTCACCTCAAATACATGAGTACTGATGGACTCACATCATGTACTGACCAAAAGTGGACTATTTTCAAAATGAAGCTTAAGAACTGGAAGAGGGCAGAAAACCACATATAAACTGTTCAAGCATGGGAAAAGATATTTTGGTTTGAGAGAGAAAGGGCCCAAACAAAAACAAGACAGTAAAAGATTAATTAGTGCATAAATTCATGGGAAGAAAACACAAGTCTTAGGAAGCTCATCAATTTTGCTGAGACAGAGCCAGTATTTGTAAGGTGAAGTCAGACAAATAGAGCACACATTTTCTGCAAGCAAGGTGATTTATTATTCAATCATGTTTTCAAGCCGAGCGCAATATAATCATGACTGTGCACCTCAAGTGGAAGAGAGAAAAATATTGCAAAGACACAGAAGTTATGGGACTTGTTAAATTTCAGCTGAAATTTAACAATTCGCAGTAAACATGAGCAGAGCAACAATCTGATACAAACTCCATAGTATCTTCCCCAACAGCCACTTCCCAAGACATCTTTTTCTAAGTTAACTAAAGTAGCTCAGTTAAAGCTAATTTTAAGACTCCTACCTAAAGAGTTCAAATAAGCTGAAGAAAATGGCCCTCAACTTGAAGAAGCTACTTCTCCTCAAAACATTCTTTTTTAATTTACAGGTTGCTCTTAGTTCTTACACCAAAAAGCCTTCCCACTATATAAGTTATTCTGGTTCATATAGTCACAAAGTAATCTTAAAATACTAATTCTATAGATTGATTACTCTGAATGTATGTAATGATACTAAGTTATTCTCAACAGAAGCCTCTCCAAAGAATCACTGGAGGCAACTGTGGATTCCCCAGAGTCCAAGTGAATTATTTTCAAACTGATAGCAAGTACAGTTTTGCAATTTATCGCGGCTATTACTACTTAATTTCAAGTGATGGGTTCTCAAACGTAATTATTAACTAAAAATATCATCACTTCATTTACAACCAGAAGTACACAGCATCAGTTATTAAGCCTAGTGCCTCCACATAAAAAGGCATAGGACTCTATATTAATTCAGTCAAAACATTTCTGCAAAACGAGGCCAAATTCTACAGAGCTGTGCAGGATTTGGCCTACAGCAGAAAACAGCCAGCACAACTTTATGTGGACATATTCCCCTTAAACAATTTTAATTGTCTGTAAAGCTTATCCAAAATTTACCAACTTCTGCAACTAATACTACACATGACTACCCTACCCTTTCTTTCTCCAAACTTGTCAGCCATTAAAAGGCTTAATTAACTTACAATACAATTTATTCAGCCTGCCAGGAATGCCACAAAGCCTGAAGCTGCCTTAAGAGTCACTTGAAGAGATTTAGCAACAGAAGCTTTTACTTAGTTTATTAAGTGGTTGAATTAGATGGACTTAACTCAAATGGATTTGTAACGACTCCAAGTAGCGTTATCTGGCTTTTTCTAGTCAGCTACCCTGTGCAGACCCCAGGTTTCTTCAGTTCTGTTTTACAGAAAGCAAACTACAAACCTGAAACTGCCAGAAAATGAGCCCCTTCTTCCCCCACTGCAGCTTGGTTCCAGGCAGTTCTCCCCCCATCCTTCAAATATTTTACTTGTTGAATATATTCCCAGATTAGAGTCTACCCTTCTTGAAGTTTTACACAGAAGGAAAAATTCACTTCAAATCCACTTCAAAAATATCTGTCCATAGTCAAAATACTTACTGAAGCCTGGCACATTTCTTGTTTCACCCTTGTTCCCAGAAGACTGACACCACCACCACTTCCTCTGGGAATTCAGTAGGGTTGAAATAAACTTCTGATTCTTAAAAATGTCAAGAGGCACAGCTCCAACAGAAAACTTTCAAATAAACTCTTGTCAGTTAAGCTAAAAGTCAGTAATTGGACACAGCAAAAGAATTTGCTTTTTGTTTTCTTTGTCTAACTTCAGATACTGAAAGAAATTCTTTGCACACTGATGCAAAACCAAAACAAACCCCAAACCCTTTACCACTTAAATATAACAAAAGTGAATTATAAGTATTAGAACAAATATTTTCAAATAACATGTGGAGGTATGTTGCTGCATAGCTGTTAACTAAAAATAAACACTTTATTTCTACCTTCTACAAAAATACACTACGCAACAGGTTAACCACATTCAACAGTGTATTAGAATGTAATTAAAAATACTAATTTCAGCTTGCATTATGGCTTTGGAAAAAACACTTGCAACATACCATATGCAACATATTATTCCACCTTGTCCTTTTCCTCCCTTTCTCTCTTCCACAGCTTCTATGCATCCAGGTGTTCAGGAGGGGAGAGACAGCAGGTGAGGAAAGAGTGAAAGAAGAAAGGAAGAACTCCCAGCTGGTGTGAACACAGTCACTTTGCTCAGTACTTGCAGCTGGTGAGCCAGAAACAGGTGGTGCTCGTCAACCATGAAACAAGGGAAGTCCTTGCAAGAAAGGTAAAAGCCAAGTATCAGGAGTTTCTCAGTTGTTTGACTTTTTCCTTATCCATTCTGCACTCTCAGGGAACCTACTGCAACAGTGCTCACCAGGGGGATTTAGTTCTTACTGACGGAAATAATATCAATACTTGTTATCTGTTAGCATGGTTATAGTATTTTATTACCATTTGGTGTTGTGCTTTGTCAGTAACCAAAACTCTCATGGCAAGCAATCCAAATCTTTAATTTATTATGGCTACACTATTCTGTCCTTGCTGTTACACAGCAGCACCCTGCCATCAGAGCAACAGCAGGAGGGGATGCTCTGGCTCTTGGTTTTAAATTAACTCATGCATTTTCACATTATGACTAGCACTCCCTGGTCTAAATGATCTAATTGTGCCTTCTGGCTTCAAACTACTCATCTAGGAGGATGCAGCTTTCCCTACAGCTGGGACATAAGCAACACAGAAAGGTGGAAAATTTGAGACAGAAACTGGGTGGACAGGTGAGATAAAAAGTGGCAACTAGGAGCTTGGCTGCTAGAGAATCAGTGAAGGTCCCGTGGAAGCAATCTGAAGTCCAGTTATGCTTTCTGTACGCCATTGTAAAGCTGCAGTAACTAGCAATAATAATAAAAGCAGAATATCTGCTCTAAGCTCCAAAAACTGGAGTTTGGTTTGAAACACTAAAGAGTGAAGGGAAACAGAGATTGTTAATCATCGTAATCCCCCTCTCCTCCGCCCATACGCACAGTCTGACCCTGCTCACACTTTGGTTTTGCTATTTACGAGCTGGCGGAGCAGCTCTGCCGGAAGGCAGGGGCCGCCTGCTCTCTCAGCCGCACCAGGGGAAGACGTGGGCGAGAGCAGCGGCAGGACACGGTCCAAGGCCCGCACTGCTCTGCGGGGCTGGTTCAGCACAGCTTCCACCTAACACCACCCAGGAGAGCCTCGGACCCGCCGCCGGCCGCTCCCAGCCCCGGTATCGGGGCTCAGTGGCGAGCCAAGGCAGAGTCATTTCCCTCCCCTTGAAAGAAGTGGTACCTATGTGCAAGGGAGGGAGGAAAAAGTCCTCAAAGTCCTCCCCAAGGGAAATAGGGAGGCGATTTTTAAAAAAAAAATTATTAATATTTTTTTTTAAATTATATTTTAATTTTTAAGGAATGAAAAATATGATCTTTTACTTACTCCATACTCGCTCACACACTGGAGGAGCTTTGCTCTCACTTTCCTTTTTGTCCTAGGCTTTCTGGTCTTTGCTTTTAAAGAAGGATTTTCAAAAGCACAACTTGCTTATTCCTGTAGGAGTAATCAGTGAGTGTTGGTCTCCCTTAAAAATCTGGTCAAAGGCATTTCGTCCCGCCTGCTCCTGCCACCGAGTGCTGAATAAGGAAGAACTGTTTTAAAGTAAAAGCTGGAAACACAGCTCCTGTAACAGCCAAGGCCAATAGAAAGAGCTTTAGCAGTAACTGAGTGAAAGATCATAAATCACAGGCAGTGAGACTGTAGGCTGTATCATGTCGTGTGGAGAACTACCCTACAGCTGGAAGGTGAGCCAGCTAGCCCACTTGAAGTCAAAGGAAATCAGTCATCATAGTATCAGGTTGGTGTATGCACAACGACTCTTGGCAGCCTGGCTAATTCCCCATTATGTTATTATAGTTTCTCTGTCTGTGAGTTCTTTCCTGTGCCAGCACTAACACTCATGTGGTTGCACAGTCTATCCTGCCATGCAAATTTCCAGGCCCATGGGGGCACTGGACCCCTCTTTTTACTGGCTACATGAACTTATGGTTGTTTAAAAAGAGGGTACAAATGGGTCGTGCTGTAATCCACTGAATAAGGGCTTTATTCAAAAAATAGAAAAAAGGATAGAGATTCTTAATGTAGATATATTATTGCTCAGAGGCCAAAATAAATATTAATGCAACATACCATGGCAAGGTGGAGAAAACAATCAGATCTTTTTAACTAGACCTTGATAAATACAATGTATGGATACAATGAGATTTATAGCATCATCAGTGGGTGCAGTGCATGAATCTCAAGGAGAACATTGAGGACTTACATGTTTATCTGGATATAGCAGTAGCAATTTTACTTTTTCCTCAAGAACCAAGAAATTCTGCCCAAAGAAGTAATTGGTAGAAATAATTGAAGCTGGGAGAGGCTCATGGAGTGGGGCAAAGAAATGAGAGGGCAAGGAAGGAGCCTTCAGCTCAAATTAGGACAAGGACACTCCTGAGGAAAGAATGATGCTTACAGGCATCAAGTAGCAGATATTAAAGCTTCGGAAATACTAAAGAGAAAGAGAATTTTTTGTGAGGGACTTGGAAAGAACTCTGTGGAAATTGTACAATTCGGGAAGCAGCAGAAAGTTCTTGGGTTACAAACCAAGACTAAAGGAAAGGATTCACCCTGCAAAGACACAGTGAAGAAAGTATGGATTTTGTTTTGGCCCTTTTACTCCAGTGCAGATCTGATCACACCATTCCCAACTCCCACATCTGTGGAAATCTCACTGTATCCAGCCAGAAGGGTTCTTCCATCTTTTCTCCCTGACCACCTATCAGAATCAGAAGCAGCGTAAAGCAGTGTCATGTTTTTAAATCCCTCCTTGTTACCAGCATCTTCAGTTTGGCCTCCAGAGAAAGTGAATGGTAAAATAAAGCAACTTCAGTATCTCCTGATTATGAATATATTTTTCTTGGTTTCTTAAATTCTTTCATATAGATTGAATATGAATGTTTGGAAACACTTGCTATTTTGACATGTTAATTTTGGGTTAATATTTTAGGTTAATTTTGGGTTAAAATTTGTTGATTTAAACAGTTTTAGTTAGCTTACATTATATATACCTATTCTTTTTTTATTTTTCCTCACAGAACTGAAAAGTGCAATTTTTAACCTTAGCTACATTATTCTATTTGGCTTTTTTCTTCAGTGTTATTTGTCATTTCTTTATAGGTTATTTTGGCATTTTTGTGATTTCAATACCTTTAGCTTGGGGTTTACGACAAGGCTGTTTTATTGTTAGTCCTTCAAGCCAATCTATTTGGCAATCTGAGTGACATAATCACTCTAAATGACATGTGAATCCCCGACATACAGGAATAACCAGAGACCAGCTTTAAATTCAGCCCTCAAGTCATCCAAATGTAATGGATGGGCCAGTTGCACAGGGCCTAAACATCCATGTTTGCAGGAGCTGCATTTTCAATTGCATAAAAAGCCTGCAAGAAAGATCGCTCCAAGAAGGAAGCTCCTTGTTAGCAGTTTCTTTGCTGATGTATATGGAAACCCAATTCCAGACCAAGACCCTGTCATGCAAGGCAGTGACAGAGAATGGGCTGTACCCTTAAGTGTTAAACATTAAAATTCATAAACATTTTTTTATATTTGAAAATGTTCATCAGCAGTCAGTGTTGTTCTTAATATTGAAGACTGACAGGTAGTAATAAGGTTAAAATAATGTTTGTTTATTGGTTGTCTCAATATTTGAAGAGTCCCATCTAGCACTATTTATGAGAGCCTCCTGAGTATACTTGGCTTAGTACACTTGCATATTATAACAGCAGTCATTGCACTTAAAGACAGTTATTTAAGATATTAGGTACTTTAAACAGAATTTATTAATTACAGTCAAAATCTGGTAAAAACTAGACCACAGAAATGGAAAGAATGGAAGCTCTAAGAATCTATTTAGTCTCAGGAAGAAATGGAGCAGGAGGAACAGACAGACAAGAGTAGACAGACTGAAGTTACAGATGATTCATTAAATAAATACTTTGCTTTTTCTTTTCCTTGTTCTTTTATAACTAACTGCATTTTTCCTGTATATTTTAACCTATGTAGTAGGTAGTTGAAGACATGCCTATTCGACCTGTTAATCACCACCCAGTCCATCTTGTCTGCCCTGTCTCCATATAAACCTCTGCTGCTCCTCTCAACATACTTCTCAGTGGTAAAGAGAAGGTTGTGGGCATATAAAAGGGGTCAAAAGGGAAAGAATGGCTGCTCTGGTTTCCAAATTTAAGAAAAAAACCCAAACAAAAGAAAGAATAATCTAGTTTACATACCTATTAGTTCATTTGACTTACCGTCTTCTTCAAGGAGAGAGTTTAAATTATTAATCGTAGAATCATTAGAATAACAAATCAGTCTCTGCTCTTCAGCAGATCTGTGTTGGTTTTTCAGCTATGATTACAGATGCTGTGATAGCATTTCCTGACATGTGACTGGAAGACAAAGGAGAAAAGTTTAAAACTTCAGACACATGTGATTTGCACAGCAGGTAAGATTCCCTGGCTTTTGATCCCTTACAGAAATTAGTGACATTTGTTATTGTAGTACCTGCCCTAAGCAGTACTGGCAGAAATAGGAAGACTGGAAGTTATGATGAATCTTTCCCACTGGGAAATGATGGGCAGAGAACAGAAAAAGCCTCCCTGTAGCTCTTACATGAGTCCATAGCTCAAGTAAAGTAGTCAGATGTGACTAATCCATTGGGCCCATCACTAAAGTGAGCATGAAGTACTTGCCAAAGGATATGCTGTTCTGGAAGGCCAGTCTGCTCCTGTCTTTGGCTGCAATCCTTTAAAAAGTTTTGGTCTCCTGAGCAAAAATAAATATTTATTTAAGTGTAGTCTGTACAATTCTGCTCCAACAAGTAGAAGTTTTAAAAAATGTTTAGTGCTTGAAAAGAACTAATGATCATGGAAAATTCAGGACTACCTTAGCTTTTAGAATGATGATATAATAATATCATTGACATAGAGTTTGTCTTACTTTTAAAATCTTGGCTTAAAACAATTAACTTACAGATCATTCATTTCTCAGATATTCAAACAGAGAAGCAAGATGCTCCAGAAACTAAAGTAAATTTATAGGGAAATATACTTGTTCTGCTGAGCAAGGATGTCAGATAACCTCAGACACCAGAGTGGAAAGAATAGTCTTATTTTACTGTTAATAATTAAAGATATAAGTAAGTAATACAGAAAATAAGAAATAAGAAAAATACAGAATAGAACACTTAATTATTATTACATACAGTTAATTATAGAAAATAAGAATAAGCAAGGTAATGCACCTAGTCTTTACTACACAATGGGGAGAATAGTGATTAAGAAAGATCCATCACCACTTGCGTATGTTACCAACATCCAGATCCGCAGTTGCTGGGGAGCCCCGGTTACGGCGAGGGTTTGGAGAGTGGCAAGTCCTGTGCTATGCATCCATCCGTAGGTGAGGCATCCAAAGTTGTGGGAAGAGGGTCCAGCCTTATATACCAAAAAATCAGCAGTCATAGTGACTTGCACTTTTCTTCAAGTGGAAACATCTGGTTTCATCCTCCTGTTGGATTCCACCCTGTCCTGGTTCAGCTAGGATAGGGTTAAGTTTCCCCAGCAGTGAGGAGGGAGCTCTAGCTGGGTTATTCATATACCATGCTGACATGAGGTCCGGGCGCCCAAGCTAGGGAAGAGCAGGGACGACTGTTGTCTGGGTTGGTACCCTTACTGCTGTATCCATGCGGTATATCTCCTGTTCACTGTTATTACTGTTATTGTTATAGCTGTTGTTCGGTTTGTTGTTGTTGCACTGTTGTATTAAATTTTTCCCTATCTCAACACTGGGCTTTGTATCTCACTCCTTGTCCCATCCAGTCCGAGGGTGGGGGAGGGCCAGTGGCAACATGGTCTCAGGTCCAGCAGTGCCTAAACCACGACACACCCAAAGCCTGGCCAGGGCTCGCTGGGGAGAACCAAGGGAGTTTCTAACAAGGCTGAATACATCGGTTCTCAGCCTTGAACAAGGCTAAACAAGGGAGGTTGGATACGTTCTCACAACATTTCATCCTCACTACTGATTACATTTTGTCTAAGCTACATCTTTCACCCGTGAGCATACATATTTTGTTAATAATCAGATACTAATTAATAAATGCTAATGGTATACAGATTTTACTTATTAGCATACTAATAATGGATAACATTTGGTTGTGAGATTCATCTAGAGGTCAACTTTGTTTCAGGGCCATTCAGGCCCTAGCACTACAATACTTTAAGTTTCAGTAGGTGATGCTGACCCCTCAAGATGAGAAATTATGTCCTTTCCATGACCACTGGTTGTGCTGTAATTTCATGGGCTGTCATCATAACCCTGTTTCTGTGTTTTACAAATCAATAATGAGAAGTAGGCATCAAAGAACAAGAGATCAAACCCAACAAGGCAGATGACAGTTTTCCAGTCTACTGAAATAAAGCCAGTAAATCACCTGAAGTCAAAAGTGAGTGTAATGAGGCCAATCATCTGATTATAAAGCCAGAGCTTCACACTAAAGGCTGTCATCAGTCCTGGAGGCTAAGTTGCCT